GTGACCTCTCGAGGTAGCCCCACCTCGGGGACTCGGGGAACCTCCCCTGCCCCTTCCAGTACCACCTCGATCTCTGCTCCTCTCCTGGGCTAGGAGGAATTCCCGCACGCCTCTTCTCTCCCCATTTGCTTCCTAGAGAGGAAAGGAACCCTTGGCACCCCTTTATTTTCCACTCTTCTCGCTCGAGAAGCCGCTATCCGGCTCCTCCCCTGTCTCAGAGTCCCAGGAAAGGATGATCCGGGTCGGGAGTTGGGGTGGGAGCCCACCGCGGCGGCGCTTTGTCGATTCTACCTAAAGTCGCGACCTGGTGACAGTCGGCGTCTCTCCCCTCCTCCACACTTCCGAGTGGAGCCGCGCTTAATCTCTTTAGGGGCTGCCAAGGGGAATATTTAAAAAGAGTGTCACCATTTCGCTTTACACTGGCATTGGCGCCTTGGGAATAGACTTTCCTGAACCTTTGGAAGGGGCTACAGCCCCCACCTCGGCTGCAGTCTGTCTTGGCCTTTACGTTGGGCACCCCCTCCTCCAGATCCTTGTAACTCGGTGCGGAGAGAGGCCTGCCGGCCACCCCAGGGCCTTCCATACATGCTTTGCCCTGGCGGAGTGGGGCAACAGGGCAGGGAGCAGAAGCAGGTGGTTTCCAAACTTGCCCACCCTGCTTGCTTTTCAAAGTCGCCTAAGGGCTCATCTGCCTCACCTCCCTTCCACCCTCCTTCAGCCACCTAGTCCCCTCAGAGAGGAGGCTGAAGGAAGGAAATGGGCAAGGGTCCCCGGTGCCACCTGGAGTTCCTCAGACCCTGGCACAAAGGCCTTGGCTCCAGGCCGCTGGCTTGGGGGAGGAGGAGGAGTGGCTGCCTGGCCACACTGTGACCTTCAGAGGCCCCCAGAGAAGGGCACCTGGCCCCTCCCTGCTCAGAACCACCCCTCCTGGTGGCCCCTGGCCGCGGAGGGGACTGTGAAGTTTCTGTCCTCTTTCCTCCTTGGCACCCCAGAGGAGCAGAGTGGAGGGAAAAGCTGGCAGCGTGAAGGTTGGGAAGGGGGCTCCTGGAGGGAACTGCAGGGAGACTTTCTAGCTGAGAGTGGAAATGTTCTCTTCCCCCGAGGGGCCTCCTGTGGCCGTGGCCCTGGGGGCCAGGCTGGCATTCTAGGGTGTATTGGGGGTGAGTGGGTAGGAGAAAGACAAGTCACAAGTGACAAATGGGACTCTTTCTTTTTGGGGTCAAGCTCAGGGGGCTAGATGCTGCTCTGCTGTCTGGGGAGTAGTGGGGTGAGGAGAACTGGAGACCCTGTGGAAGGGCTTGTAGAAGCCTTTGCCTCTTTGGCGCTGTCAGCTCCACATGGCTGAGCCTGTTGACCTTCACAGCTTATGGGGAGAGGACTGCTCTGAAGGGGGTAGGGAGGGGTAGGGGAGGCTTCAGGCCTCAGTAGGGCAGGGGGCCCCCTAGGGGCTGGGCAGTGAAAGGGCATAAAAGGCTTCCCTGGCTGCATTTTAAGGAACGTGCTTAGGTGAGAAGAAACCAGGGAACAAAGTGGGAATGAGAGATTGGGGAAGTTTTCGACATAGTTAGGTGTTGGGAAATTTATACAGAGGAAGAGACTGGCATTCCCCCTTACCTTTCAAGATTTTCCTCCCGGGCAACCTGTGGGAATGCATTATTCCTGAAGCCTGGAGTTAGGGTGGGGGAGGATGGTTGATGCCCTTCGGTCCTCTGTACCCCTCCTCCCTCGCCAACACCAGCTCACCCTGGTATTTGTCATGTCAGCAGGAGAAGGTCACCATGTTGTTTTTCTTGCCCCCAGTCCTGCCTTCCTGTCCCAGTCCAAACTTGCCCTCCTGCTTGACCCTAATACTTAGCCATGGCTTTGGACCAGGACAGCAGGGAGGCAGAGCAGGTTCCCTTTCTTAGTGCTGTAATGGGACAGTGAGGGTGAGGAGAGGAAGCTGTGGGGCAGGGGTGTGTTTCTTTTAGGTTTTGAGTGCCTCACCCTCCAATATCTGGTTAGGCTTTAACTTGCCTAAGAAGTCAGGAGTGGTGGGTTTGCTGCGTAGAGGGAGCCCCTGACTTTGCCCTTTGCCAGCCCAACTCAAAAGACTTGGAGAATCCAGAGGCTGTGGCTAGGAGGGAAGCAGGGAGGGAGGAGGAGCTGATGGCTGGACCTCTGGCCCCTGCCCCCTACCCATGCCTCCATCTTTGTCCTCAGTGGTCCCAGGCTGCACCCACCACAGGAGGAGGAGAGACGAAATCCCATGAAGGTGAGTCTTGGATGGAGTCCCCTTGTGTCCTGAGGGGCTGGATGGGAAACCGGGTTCCTTCTCTTCAGGCCTGTGTAGGAGAGGGGCAGGGGAATGTGGACATCGAGGAAAGGAGGTGAACACTCGGGGGTTAACCCTTTCGTTTCCTCAGGCCACTGCTAGTTGCCAGCAAGATATCATTTAGAGAGCGAGATCTGTGAACACAGACCAGAAAGAATGATGGTCTAAGGGTCCAGCTATCTAGGGAGGTTTCTCATTTCCCAGGGTGTTGAGCACCTCCTACTCGATTATGCCCACCTGTGGGTTCTGCATGGTGGTGGTGGCCTGTATGCTTTCTGTTGAGAAAGCTGGCTTTGTGTGAGCCCAGTCTGTGTCATCAGTACGAGGGCCTCCTCTGACCCCTAGCTTGCATTTCCTTGGAGGTGCAGGAAGCCCTCTGCCAGCCTGCCCATGTGCTGGTTGGGTGCCCTGAACTTCCTCCCAGGGCCAGCAGAGGGCTGGCTGTAGCTGCAGGCGCCCCGCCCCCTGCCCAGCCCCTGATGCTGCCTTCCTTTTGTTCCACGGTGGTTTAGAGTAGGGGATCCTCCCTTTTCTCTGGGGACACCCTGGCTCTCTCCACACCCCAGTGTGGCTCCTGCTCTAGCCTGGGGGAGGGGTGCCTGCTGCCTGCTCCTCCATCTCTACCCCCTGAAGAGGGAAGGGCCCCGGGGTCTTCCTCCAGGCCAGTTTCTCCTGAGCCAAATCCAGTGTGGCCCAGGGACCGGGCCAGGGACAGTATTTCCAGCCCGGAGCCTGGTGGTGCCCAACCGGTTCTGCCTCCTCTGTCCCCACCCCAGGGAGCACTTTCCTGGGCTCTGGCCTGATTTCACAGCTACTGTGTGGCCTGGGCCATTGACAGACACCTCCCCACCTCCAGTGCCACTGCTCC